TATTTGTTTAGAACTCTGAGATTACTTTTTCTTATGAAAAATTGTTTTTCAATGTAAACGTCACAACTCATAACTGAAATAATGTACATTTGCAAAGACAAAAATGTCACTGCTGTGACACTCATGGGGGAAAAAAAATCAACCTAGTCTAATTTAAACTAATAAATAAATAAAAAGGAATTCTATTTAGAATAGAGAAAAATAAGGAGATATTGTAATGTAGAAATGTTTTTTAATGTAGAAATAAGGTTTCCAGATATTTGCAATAGAGGCTGGCACTAGTTCTAAATTTCTTTTTACAAGTTTAATATTACTTTCCTGGATATATGAAAATCACTAGTATTTTTTAACAGTCAATAATCAGTCACTTTTAGGAGCACGAAGACTATGAAAAAAAAATTTCAGGGCCAGTTAGTCAATACATATAAGACAGAAGATAAAAAGAAAAGTAGATAAGAAACAACCATCCTAGATATGAAAGAGGGAGCAAATGTCCTTAAGGCAGAAAGCAAGCTGCTGCCACTAGGGGGAAGTAGCCAGATTCTTCCATGTAGTGGCCACTAGATGGTGCGACCAATCAGGACAGCTTAGCTCTACTGAGGTTAGGTGGGCACATGCAGAACAGGACAAGAAAAGTCTGCATACAACTAACTGAATGTGATGAGTGGCTCCACCTCTTTGGGACTCTACTGCCTGTGGTAAAAGAAGTTTATACATGAATTGGAATACTACACACTATTTAGACTCTACTTCTCAGTCCGTTCTTTCTTTTTTGTTCTGAAATTTTGTCTTATGATAAAGTAAACTAAAATCTTCTTTCAAGATTTAAACCAAAAATGTTGAAATGACAAGGTCAATGGGACGGTGAGGTGTTCTTGTTTTTCCATGTAGCACGGAGAAGATATTCTGCCTTACATCAACTTCTGTAAATTAATAAATGTTCAGAAACACAAAAAGTTTGTTACACATGAGAACACTGCCTTAAAATGACAGCTGCATGGCCTCCAAAAAGTGTATTGTAATATAAATGGAATGATCTGAAACCTACTTTAAATAGCTACATCACTTGCACAGAGTAATCAGCTGTACTTAACACTCTTTGCAGAGATAGAGATTCTTATTCTACACCTTAGGATTACTCAAGAAATAAGAAATAAATAGCTTAAGTAATAGTGGGTCCTAAATCCACACTTTTATTATGAAATCAGACTGTAAGCAAATTCTGACAATGTACAAGACATGATGGGCTTTAAGCAAAAGAAGAAAATTACTTAAAAAATGCCAATACAACATTATTGCTTTGAAAATATTTCTAAACTCTTAGTTGTGGGACAACTGTTCTAAAAGTAAAAAAGTGAGCAAGTAAAATTTCATTCAATATATTTCATTCAGCTGACCAATTAATCTGTTTTAATCTCTACTGAGGACAAATTTCCTAATCACATAAACACATTTTCATTTAAATAGCCTGAATCATTCATTCTGTATATTCCAATGTATAAGGGCTCTACACTAAATACATCACAGTGATTAAGAAATATGTGTTCCAAGTTTGCATAAAGACCACCCAGAATAAACTAAAATCTATACTTAAAACCCTGAAGTACTTTAAAATAAACAAAGTTATTAAGTTATTAAGTATTCATGTTAATTCTTACTCACCTGGTATTGAGCCATTAATGCCAATGGGTTATTATTCTGGCTGTTATCAAATGTTAAAACATCAAATACGCCAACACAATTTACTCGCAACCTTTAAAGATCAGAGAATTTAAAGAAAATAATTAAAATGAGATTTTAAAAATTATATAGTAGTGGAAACTTATTACTTCCTATAATATTTGGAAGGATCTCAGGATATCATCTACTCTTAACTTTCTGTCCTACCCCCATATACCTTCCACCAATCACCATTTTAGAGATGAGAAAATTAAGGCTCAAAGATATCAAGTGATAGACCTGAAGTTATAAAAGTCAGTAACTAATAAAGCCAGGACTACAACTCACATCTCTGACTACCAGCCCAGTGGTCTTTCCACTGTATCAAGCTGCTTCATTCATGTAAAGAGAACTAGTTAGCTTCATAACACTTAAAGATGTACTAGGTAACAATGGAAGCATTTTACATGTATTAACTCATACAATCCTCTCAATAATCTTATGAGACAGGAACCTTATAAATGTAGAAAATTCAGAGAACAGTACCTGTCTCATAAGGTTATTGAACACTGAAGTTAAGGAACTTCATCAGGGTCATAAAGACAGTAACTGAGCCAGGACACGAAGCCAGATCACCTGGTACGACATCTTGAGGTCTTCATGATACACTACCCAATACAATTCTCAAAATGACAACAATTCAAATGTAATTCTGCTCAAATCAGGTCTGTGTACTTAACTCTGTCTCAAAGCATGGGACCCAATCAGCAGCAACAGCATCACCGAGGAACTTGGGAATGCAAACTCTCAGGACCCACTCCAGATTTACTGAATGAGAACTCTAGGGTTGGAGTCCAGCAATCTGTGCTCAATAAGCCCCCCAGGCAATTCTGATTCATGCTAAAATTTGAGAACCACATGGTTGTACACAGACAAATTGTACTGATATTACTTATATATCCCCCCAACCCTAACCATACATACCTCCAAACCCTTACAAGATTCTTGGTTAATAACCAGGGTTTTTTGTTTGTTTGTTTTAAGAATTCAACTTTTTTTTTTTTAACTTACAAATGAACTCAAAGTCACAGCAGTTCTTCTGGATGGAATATATGAAAAGGTAAAATTAAAACAAATCATCATGCTTTGTCTAAAAGCTGTCATAGGCTAAATGCTCAATAAAGAAGCCAAAACTCAAAATGCTAGTACCTCGTTTTGCCAGTTATCAGAATCTTTGTTGGGTCCATAACTCGACATGCCAAACCTGCTGTATGAATAGTACGCAATGCAGAACTCAACTGGACAATATATGCCCAAATAAGAGATTCTGGCAATAATCCAGCATGCTGTCTGGGCAATGGTCCATCGTGTTGACCTATAAAGCAAATAACAAAAAGTTATTTAAGTAATGAACTAAAAGACAAAAACATTCAAACCAAAATTAACAGAAAATTCATTTATATTCATAGCATAATTTGTCAATTCATACATGTTTATATGTAAAATTTAAGTTTAGTCTGTAAGAATTTAAAGGACAAACCCCAAATTTCCCATTTTGAGATTATACCTTATATTATTAGCAGCAGCATAGTTCTCACTAAACTGTTCTTTTCTGTGACCATTGCAATCATTGAACAATAAACAAAAATTATTTTAAAAATCTATATTAAGCCCAGCAGGTGTGGCTCCATGGTTGAGCATCAACCTATGCACTAAGAAGTCGCCAGTTCCACTCCCAATGCATATGCCCGGATTGCAGGCTCCATCCCCAGTGTGGGGCAGTGAGAAGGCAGCCGATTGGTGTTTCTCTCTCACTGATGTTTCTATCTCTCCCTCTCCCTTCCTCTCGCTCTAAAAATTAGTAAAAACATTTTAAAAGAAGAATCTATATTTAATTGTGAACCAATACATATAAATTCTGATTAAAAACAGAAATTGTATTTTACTTAAAATGTGGATAACCCTAGCCTATATTATTGTTCTGGCAATGTGAGACCTGTTCATTCTGTGGCTTGGAGGAAATAAAAATCTCTACCATCATTTATGTTGAATGTTTTCTTATTCTCCTTGTACTGCTCAGTCTCTTCTATTACAGCCATGTCAGTTAGATATGATGACATCCAATTCACAAAAACACGATGGTAAAACACTAAATGTCATTTACATGTAAAGATGAAATCCAAAAAATGTGGTCTACCATGAAAAGTCATCGTTTTGATTCTATTAATTCTTTTAAGTACCTCCTGATACTATTTTCTCAGTCACTGTTAAATCCTTAAATCAGTAGAAAAGGAGCCATATAAATTTAATCCAGAATTTGTAATTACAGTAGATCCCCCTTAACTGCAGTTTCATTTTCTGTGATTTCAGTTACCTGAAGTCGACCAGTCAGAAAATATTAAATTGCCCCAACCATCAACATCATCTGCTCCTGACATCCAGCCATCAACATCATCATGGCTCAATAATCCAGGATCTCTCGAAGCAGAGGCTTCTCCTTCTGATGTATCATCAAGGTCAGTAGTTGCCTAATACTACGTCACAAGGCCTATGTCATTCACCTCACTTCATCTCATCACATAGGCATTTTATCATCTCACATCATTACAAGAAGGGGTAAGAACAATAATATATTTTGAGAGAGAAGAGACCACATTCACATAACTTGTATGACAGTATATTGTTATATAATTGTTCTATTTTATTATTGGTTATTGTTGTTAATCTCTTACTGTGCCTAAATTTAAAAATTAAACTATCATATGTATGTATAGGAGAAAACATCATATAACATCACACACACACACAATTTGGTACTACTCCCAGTTTCAGGTATTCAGTGGGGGTCTTAGAATGTATCTATCCCCTGCAGATAAAGGAGGATTACTGTATTTCTTTCTTTTTTAAGAAGGAAAAAATCTTTCTTCTTATTATTGATTTTTAGAGAAAGGCAGAGAGGAACTGAGAGAAAGAGAGAGAGGCAGAGAAACAGCAATGTGAGAGGAAAACAATGATTGGTTACCTCGTTCACGAGCCCCAACCAGGGATCAAACACAAAACTTGGGTGCCCTGACCAGGAATCGAACCAGCTACCTTTGGTGTACGAGACGACACTCCAACCAAACGACACACCGGCCAGGGCAGGGCTAATGTATTTCAGAGAATATAACCTTATAAGTGCAAGTGTTCACATGGTTGTAAACAAACCTTCTGTGAATCAAATCTGAAAACAACAGTTAAATCGTTAATTGTGGAGATGATAAATAGCAAATAGGTACTTATGACTTGTAATAAAATTTCAAGGAAAAAGCAAATATAAAATTCAAAAAATGCTATCCCTCCTGCTCGCTTCTGCAGCACATATACTAAAATTAGAACGATACAGGAAAGATTAGCATGGCCCCTGTATCATAAACTGCTATCCCTCAATTTAGACAGAACTAAAAGTAATAAAATCTAGCCCTGGCTGGTATAGCCCAGTGGTTAGAGTATCGGCCCGAGGACTACAGGGTTGCAGTTTCAATTCCCAGCCAAGGGCAAATACCTGGGTTGCAGGTTTGATCCCCAGCCCCGGTGGGGTTATGTGCAGGAGGCTACCAGCCCCCTCCACTTTCTCTAAAAATCAATGGAAAAAATATCCTCAGATGAGTATTAACGAGAAGAGAAGAGAAGAGAAGAGAAGAGAAGAGAAGAGAAGAGAAGAGAAGAGAAGAGAAGAGAAGAGAAGAGAAGAGAAGAGAAGAGAAGAGAAGAGAAGAGAAGAGAAAGGAGGGGAGGGAGGGAAGGGGAGGAGAGGGGGAAGAAAAAGAAAGAAAGAAAATCTGGAAAACAGTATTAGATGATTCAAAATGTGACTCTAGTGATAAATGCCAAGAAAATGTCCAAGGCAACAATAAAGAATTGAAATAAAACTATTTAATAAATGTGGTAATAAGGAAAAGAAATATTTATAACAAACAAGTGCTTACAGTAGGCCCGATTTTGTCCGGTTACTATACCCACACATTTTCTCATTTTAAACCTCTATCACAACTCCTATATGGTATGGCATTATTATTATTCCCATTTTCTAAATTAGCATATTTCTTATATGATTTTTTGTGCTAAGTTCATAAATTAAATAGTATAAGAAAACAGACTTCCATCTATGTCTCTACGAGTTCATATAAATGATGGCCTTTATTTTCTTTTTTTAATATTTACATTGGGAAAACAAGGTTTCCTTGTAATAGAAGTTACTGTAAATTAAAGTATACATAGTGCGTTTAGGGATGTACCATTTAAATGATATTTTCAAATATTAGAAAAAGGACTGATTCCTGTGAAAATATAAACATAGCAAATAATCAGTCAATACCGAAAACAGAATAATTAAGATTTTTTTTAAAAAGCTGGAAAGAAGTTCAGTGAATCAATGGTTCTCAATGGATCAATTTTGCCCACCCGAGAGAACATTTGGCAACGTCTGGAGATATTTTTGGTGCCACAACTGGAGTAGGGGTTTCTACTAGAATCTAGTGGGTAGAGGCCAGGGCTGCTGCTGACATCCTGCAATGCACAGACGGCTCCTACGAAAATAACTGTCCAGCCCCAAATGTCAACATGGCTCATGTTGAGAAACCCAACTATAAATTATAGCCAACAGTCATTTCACAGGTGGTATTACGAAAATAAACTTGAACGACTATAGCTATGTTCATCTATAGGGAAAGTCATACCACATCCCCTTCAACAAAATTATGTGTCTACAGATGACACGGCAAAAGGAAAAAAAAAAGACCACACCATATGACCAGATTTTTAATGTTAGGCAGCCATGTAACCACAGATTTCTTCTTGTAACTGTCAGAAAGCAAAGTTAAAAGTAAACAGAAGTGACATACTTTTACTCCTATTTAGAGTCTTTAAGGGAGTCACAATGCAGAAGATCCTGTCATGTGACTCAAAATCTTTCTCCCTCCTTACTCTCAGCATGTATTTAAGAAAATCTTTAAAATATTAAAAATCACGGTAAAAAATACAATGTTTTTGTCCTACCCCCAAACCAGAAAATGAATATTTTTCCCTTCCCAAATATATAAATTAACAGACAGCTCAAAATAAATTCACTTTTACTCTGAAACGATTTATCCTTTAATAAACATTTATCAGAATATAATGAAAATATTTTGGTTCTTTGCAATATTATCAGAAAGGGGCAACAAAAGAAAATATTACCAGTCTAAGGAAAAGTTATCTGCAAATTTACATTGAAGACTAGTTCATTAAGTAACATGAAATCCCTAACTTTAAACAAAAGCATTTGTTTACGAAAATAATTTCATAAATGATATATAGTCACATTGGATTCTGAGGGAGTCATTAAATTACACTAAAAAAATATATAAATTAAGGGGAAATAGCCGCCCCCCTTTCAGTTTTTGAACGGGAGAGACGCAGCGACGGGCCCGGTGCGGCCCCCTTGCAGAAAAATGGCAGCAGAGTGAACGGAGCTACACAGACCGTCTCCCAGAACCAAACTGGAATTACAACTATAACACAGACAAATCAACGGGAAAAACCAACAGAAAAGCAGCTTCCGATGACCATACAACGAGGGACACTGACTCCATCCCGGTAGGCTTGCGAAGGCGAGACGGGGGCTGGGAGCCCACAGTCGGCAGCTCAGCAGCGGCCTCAGCTGGGAGCGGCGCCCGCGGGTTACACTCCCAGGCGGCCCCACAGCGCAGAGACGGGACAGAGGCTGAAACAGCCACAGCCACTCACCTTGGGCTCCAGCAAAATGAGGGCAGACTGGACTGGAGCTGTGTCGGGACACTCGGGGTTTGGAGGGCGCTCAGAGCTTTTGCTGAGTGCAGCCACGCAGGATGGTGGGTGGCCATATTGCTCCTTCCCAAGGCCCTGGGGAGAGGCAGCAGCCCCTCCCTCGGAGATCCAGCCCCACCCTGTGGGCCACTGAAGTGCTAATTGAGGCTCATTAACAACCAGCATCTGCCCCACCCTTGTGAAAGCCCCTTGTGCTGAGCACCTGAGGGAGTTTTTCAATCAACTGACAACCCAAAACTCACCAAGTAACCTCAAATGCTAGCCTCCAGGCAAAGAGCTAGAGGATAACAGTACCTTTCCTGGGTTAGCAACTTTAACCAGGAAAGTAAGACTTGACAGTGGTGTTCAACGTGGGTCCTCCCTCGCTCATCTAAACACAGGAGAGGGCGCCACAAACAGCAGAACACCAACACCCACAGGGAGAACTTGACAGGCTCCAAAGCCCACAGTGATAGCCAAAATGGTGAAACACAGAAACAGAAGCCAAATGAAAGAGCAAGAGACCTCCACCGAAGATGAGATCAATGTGGAGCAATTAGGCATGTTAACAGAGCTAGAATTCAGAGCCATGATCTTGAGGAAGCTGAACAGCATGAGTAAGGACATAGAGACACTGAAAATAAGTCAATTGGAAATTAAAAACCATCAAGAAGAGATAAAAAAATGAAATCTCAGAAATGAAAAACACATTGGAAGGTTTAAAAAGCAGAGTAGAGGAAGCTGAGGACCGGATCAGTGAATTAGAAGACAGGGTAGAAAAAATCAACCAATCAGAAAAACAAAAGGAAAAAGCTATTAAAAAACAGGAAGACAGCTTAAGAGAACTGTGGGACAACTGGAAACGGAATAATATTCGCATCATAGGAGTCCCCGAAGAAGAAGAAAATGAGCAAGGGATAGAGAATATATTCAAAAAAATAGTGACAGAAAACTTCCCTAATTTGGTGAAGGAAGAAGGCATTCAAGATCAAGAAGCACAGAGAGTCCCAAGTAAGAAGAACCCAAACAGGCCCACACCAAGACACATAGTAATGAAAATGCCACAAATTAAAGACAAAGAGAGAATCCTAAAAGCAGCAAGAGATAAGCAACAGGTTACCTACAAAGGAAACCCCATAAGGCTCGCAGCTGACTTCTCAACAGAAACACTACAGGCCAGAAGGGAACGGCATAAAGTAATCAAAGTCATGAAAAACAAGAATCTGAATCCAAGACTACTCTACCCAGCAAGGCTATCATTCAAAATAGGTCAAATACAGAGTTTCCCAGACAAAAAAAGGCTAAGGGAATACATTACCACCAAACCAGCACTGCAAGAAATGTTAAAAGGACTGCTGTAATTAGCAGGAGAAATGGGAGGAAAAGTAGAACCACACTAAACAAAAATGTCAATAAATAAGTACATATCAATAATCACCTTAAATGTAAATGGAGTGAATGCGCCAATAAAAAGACAGAGTAGCTGATTGGATAAGAAAGCATGACTCATCTATATGTTTTTTACAAAAGACCCACCTCACAACAAAAGACTCACATAGGTTGAAAGTGAAGGGTAGGAAAAAAATTTTCCAAGCAAATGGAAAGCAAAAAAAAAGCTGGGGTAGCAATTCTCATATCTGATAAAATAGATTTCAAAATGAAGACCGTAACTAGAGACAAAGAAGGCCACTACATAATATTGAAAGGATCTATCCAACAGGAAGATATAACCTTGATAAACATAAATGCACCCAATATAGGAGCACCAAAATATATTAAAAATCTTCTGGAGGACTTCCAAGGAGAAATCAACAACAATACAATCATAGCAGGGGACTTCGACACCCCGTTGACAGCACTGGATAGATCCTCTAGGCAAAAAATTAGTAAGGAAACAGAGACTCTAAATGAAGCACTAGACCAAATGGATTTAATAGATATCTACAGAGAATTACACCCCAAAACTACAGAATACACATTCTTCTCAAGTGCACATGGGACATTCTCAAAGATAGACCACATGATAGGACACAAACTAAATCTCTACAAGTTCAAGAAGATTGAAATCATATTGAGTATCTTCTCAGATCACAATGGCATGAAACTAGAAATCAATTGCAACAAGAACATGCAAAGACATTTCAACACATGGAGGCTAAATAGCATGTTATTAAACAATGAATGGGTCACCGAGGAGATCAAGGAAGAAATTAAAAACTTCCTGGAAACCAATGAAAAGGAACACACTACAACACAAAATCTATTGGATGCAGCGAAAGCAGTTCTGAGAGGGAAGTCCATAGCACTACTGGCCTACCTCCAAAAACAAGAAAAATTTCTAATTGACTGTCTAACCTCACATCTTAAAGAATTAGAAAGCAAACAAAAAGAAAACCCCAGAGCAAGTAGAAGGAAGGAAATAGTAAAGATTAGAGCAGAAATAAATGACATAGAGACCAAAAAATCAATTCAAAGGATCAATGAAACAAAGAGCTGGTTTTTCGAAAAGATAAACAAGATTGATGGACCCTTAGCTAGACTCACCAAGAAACAAAGAGAGAGGACCCAAATACACAAAATCAGAAATGAAAAAGGAGAAGTAACAACCAACACCATGGAAATACAAAAAATTGTTAACAACTACTA